CGTCATCTTAACCATTTTGTCCCTAAAACAGATATATAAAAAATATCATAATTTTTTGTTTTATACATCGTTCATGAATTAAATGGTCCCTTTGATAGTTTACTGTTACAGAAACCAATTTTGTAATAGGGACAAACCATTTCTGTAACAATTTACTGACACATGGACCATTTCTGTTAAATTTTACAATCATAGGGACCATTTACGAAACCGTAAACTGTAACAGTGACCATTTATGTAACAGTTAGCGACACACCAAAAGTAGATTGTTAAAATTAGACAACTAAAAGAATACCACATATTTGTCGTTTTCATAAAATGTCAATGTAATATCATGAAATGGTAAATGTAGTTATTTATGTAAAATGGTATTTATGTATTTTTAATTAGTTTAATGTATTTTTGCATGTAGTAAAAAGGTAATGCAATTTTCGATAAGGCATTGTAATATAACAATATTATCTGTTTATAATCTGATTTCGGTAGGTAAAATATAGGGCAACTCCAATCAGGGACTTATGTTCCTGAAATCAATATTAATTCTTGCTGCTATCGGTTAGAGATCATAAGCAAATGTTGACTGAACAAAGCAGAAATAAGGGCAATGTACTTTATAAATATATGGAATTGGTGAAATACCTAATGTAAAAAAGTTGAAAGGATGTATGCAAAGGAACAAGGGTTGAGCATGCATGGGTCAGTTTGGGTCGGTTTCGACCTATAACCAAACCATAACTGATGGAATCGGTTTTTAAATAATCAAAACTGAACCCATAACCCAAACCAACGAGTTCGGTTTCCCGGTTCCCAGTTTCCTGGGTTCGGTTCCGGGTTAAAGAACTTTGGATACCTTTGAGCAAATATAATGGAAAATAACTTGCGAGGGTAATTATCTTTTCGTCTTGTTTACGTTTAGGTAACTTCATTTTTTTGTACACATTTGACCATTTAATTTGTTAAATGTGTTCACATATTATCATTGTCACCTGCTATAGCAGGTGACATGGTAATATGTGAACATATTTAACAAGTTAAATGGTCAAATGTGTACACAAAAAGAAAGTTGTTTAAATGAACATTTTTAAAAATTTCTTATTTTTTTTTTATAATTTCTTACAATATTTTTATGATATTTTTTTCCTACAGGTTTTTCGAATACAATGCTTTAAATCTTTGCTTATAATTTTTTTTAAAACTTTTTTTTTATTCTTTCATATAAATTTAATACAAGTGTTTTTAAACCAAATATTTTATAAATGTTTTAAATTTTTCCTACAAATATTTAACTTGTTTTTTTTTTTACATTTTCATACAATTTTTTTTTATCTTTCATACATTTATTTCTAAACTTTCTTTTACAACATTGTAAAGTGTTTCACATATTTTGTTTGATAGTTTAATATTTTTTTATAACATTTTAAAATACTTTCGTTAAATACTAGTTTAAAACGTTGTATTAAAAAAATTAAAAGTTTAAAAACTTATAATTAAAAAGTATTAAAAAGTTGGAATAATTTTAAAACATTTACATTATATAGATTTTTTTTCGTTTTTTTATTTGCTAAGTAATATTTTCTTTTTATTTTTTTTAAAAGATCATCCATACTTATTGTTACATATTTAATTTATTTAATTTTATTGTTAGATACTGTTTACTTTAAAAATATTGTATATGCTTAAAAACAAACGAAAAAAATTATAAGAGGCTATATAAAACATTTCACAAAACAAAAACATATTTATTAATTAAAAAGTAAAGTTTAAAATTGATCAATATTTAATTAATATTTAGGAAATTATGCATATTTAAAAATAACATTTGTAAAAAAGAATACAAAAAAATATAAAAAATAAAATCGCTATTAAAAGTGGGAAAAATGATTTATCAGGATAATTAACTTTTCGTTTTGTTCACATTTAGGCAACTTTCTTTTTTCGTACACATTTAACCATTTAACTTTTTAATTTGTTCACATATTACCATCATTTAACTTTTAAATTTGTTCACATATTACCATTGTCACCTGCTATAGCCGGTGACATTGACAATATAGGAACACATATAACAAGTTAAATGATCAAATATGTACAAAAATAAAGAAGTTAGTTAAATGTGAACAAAACGATAAAGATGATTGCACTGACAAATCATTTTTCCCAAAGATAACCATGATACAAGTTTATATAAGCACCAAGAGGTACTAATTTTCAAATCCCATTGGGGATGTGGGATGAATTGAGCTTATGAAAAAGTAGAAATTCCTTTATAACACTTGACAAAGGCGTTGTGTTGCATCCTCCAGCGATGTGGGATAGTATTAAGTGTTTGGAAAAATAAATCAATTGTATATGTCCCATGTTTCGAACATGCAAGAGAGGGCAGGCACGTTAACCACATGAACCAGGCGCTGATTGTGTTATTATTATGCAAACTATATGTATATTATGTATATAAATATATATTTTTATAAGTATTTTATATAATCGGTTCGGGTTCGGTTTGTATCGGTTTTACCATATAAAGAAACCGACCCAAACCGAAATTTTCGGTTTTTGAAAAATCTCAACCCAACCCATCGGTTTATGCTTCGGTTTCAGTATTTCGGTTTTGGTTTCCTCGGTTTTTGTCGGTTTTTGGGTTTTCGGGTTCGGTTTTGCTCACCCCTAAAAGGAACTAACTTTTCACCTTCAAATTCGACATGAATTTGAAAAGTTTCAAGAAAATAAGTGCTATAAACCAAGAATTAGTTGTTTTGGATCTGTAAAAATGCACATCAATTTTAGCTAATTTGACAAAGAAAAATCGCTAAAAACACTAGAAAGAAGATCAAGAAATTTGGAAAAATAACAAATCAAAATTTATGATTGTTATTTTTCAAATTGAAGAACGAAACGGTGAACTCTAGAATCCCAGAAAACATTAATCTGGAGATAAATACCATTTTGCCAATCGAAATACAAGTTTGGAGAAATAAATATGTGATGAACATTACATTTTGATGAAGAAATACATATGTGATGAACATTACATTTATCAATCCAAATACAAGTTTGTTTGGTAAAACGTCTTAATCATAATGGTTTTTACTTTTATTTTTTTGGTTTTTTTTTCTTTTGTCCTGAAAGTACCCAAAATACCCCCTACCCCTAATATGAATATATGATGCAGTTGGATGCTATAAATGGTATCACTTCGATTATTATTTTTCATTCATTAGTTAAAAAGTAACTAATTTACCAATTCCTTGATTTGTTCTTGGAAAATAAGCTTTCTACTTTATTTTGGTTCCCAATTGATGTTCATTCAAACTCATAGCCACCGGCCACCAACTGAAGATGAACATTGCAATGGCCTTGCATTTTCAAATCCATTTTTTCATTGATTCAAAAACATGAGGGTAAAATAGGAAACAAATGTATGAAGATTTATATAAAGCTTTGTTCTTTAAAGGACAGATAACTTTTTCTATAATTTATTATAAATTTTATCTTAATAATACTATCTTGGTATTTTTGTTTTCTATTTTTTTCCAAATAAGTTTTCAGACCTATATAATTATTATTTTATTTTCTTTAAATCATTTTTTTAATTTATTTTTTAGTTTGAATCATAAATCTGTTTATAAATGTTAGTTAACACAAAAAATATTATTATAAAAATTAATTTACAAAAACTTTATGATTAATCTTCAAGTTTTTTAAAATCCTAATTACACTACAACTTTTGTTTGTTTAATTTTCCTTTTTCTGTTTATATATATATATATATATATATATATATATATATATATATATATATATATATATATATATACTAGCCGTTTACCTGCGCCAAGCGACGGGTGACAATAGTTTTTTCATAAATTAGTTTCGAGATGACTTTAAATTGAAGCTAGCTCGTCGAAATATTTAAGGTATAAAAATGAAATTATATATTAAGCCATATCTCCTCAATTTATGGTATCATAATTTTAATATCGTTTTTTGTAATAGTTAATATGATTTATCCATAAAATATTTGTATATGAAGCTTATAATTATTAACTCCTACAAATATAATGAATATTTTAAAGAAGTTAAAAATCCTAAAACTTAAAGATCCACCGTCAAAGTAAATGATACAAAATTTAGGAGTTTGTAATAATCATTAGCCAACTAAAAAGTTTCACTACTATTCGTAAACCTTAAAGAAAATCAAGTTGATTTGCCAACATAGAACCATGTCAACTTTTTAGCCAAGAGTTCGTTACAACAATTAAGATTTAGGATTTATGGTTTATATCAATTTCTTTTTATTATATAATGGTGTGATTGGCGTTCATGGTGTTACACTGTTACCCACATTTTTGGTACCTAAAATTATTTTTATGTTAAAATACATGATTCTAGCCTACAATTAGTGAGGTACCTCCGTTTAGAATCAAAATCGGTTAAAAAGCAACATTTTTGGTACCAAAACCGATATCACCAATCCTGATTCCGTTGGTTCCAAACTGTTAGCCACCTATTATACATTGTTTCTAGCAACAAATAATGCATGTTTTTAACACTATTTAAATTAACTACTATTTAAAAATGTGATGCATGTCTATATTTATTTTTTTGATGTTACTAATTTATAAACAATGCATGTTTTTAATACTATTTAAATTAACTATTATTTTAAAATGTGATTCATGTTTATATTTATTATTTTTTGATGTTACTAATTTATGTTTATGCATGTTAGCACATTTGTATGTATTATTTGTGTATGTTAAATGTTCTTAGACATTTTTTTCAAAATAGTAGGCAAACACCAACTTTTAAATTGAGGTCTACATGTTTATTTATATGAATTATTTTTGTAAAACCACTTTAGTTAATTACAATGACAATTCCTCAACCACATTAACTTTTGTGGTTTGCTTATTTACTTTATGAAAAAGAATTGATCAAATAAGCCTCAACCAGGTTCTCAAAGAATGAGAAAATAATATTGAATATCTAGTTACTTATAATGTAAATACAACAATTACATTTTTATCGCAATTAAGGGGTACCCTCCTTTTCTTAACCAATAACCAAAACCTGAAAAATAGGAAGTTTCATAACTAAACATACATTTATCATATATGTAATTTGAAACCTGATGGTTGATGCTAGTCAAAGTTCCACATCATCAAAAATTTCTGCAACCACATACAAATGATATAAATCATTCATGGTAATCCCCCATAGCCAACGGCTCCGATACCATATAAATCCATGTCTGTCGGAAAACTTACATATCCATAGAAAAAGAAAGTAAGAGTATAAAGAAATTATCTATCATGTATCATCCACACTCATTTTGTTGCAGAAGTAGTAAAAAGCATCCCAATGGATCCTTTGGATGCCTATGTCTCCCAGGTTTGCACCTCACATAAAATTCAATTCATCTTCTAATTAATTAGATATAGAGTCTCAAAAAAAAATTAGAAAACTGAAACTATATCTGCAAATTGAAGAACCACACATATTAAATGATTGTATTCTACTCAACAATTTAATCAAAAGCCGCAATCTTTGTGCCCATTTTAATAATGAATGGACTAAAACATTTATTTAATCATGAATCTTGGTAAAGTAGTTTGGAACTATATCATTTTTAATTGGATGTAGATGGTCCAACAATAATTAATTTTTCACCGGTGTGCTGATAATGTACAACTCTTTATGGAAAGAACCAAAAGATGAGGAAAATTATTGAAAGTATTGAATGAACAAACCTTTATCTCAACAAAGTCATTTGTTCAGGGTCCCACAAACGCCTATATCACCACATACAGGCTCAACACTAAGCTGAGGTTTACTTAGAGCCCTATTGAAGCTGCATGATCAACACCTTTTTCTCCATCAACACCATCATTGTATTTTAAGATCTGAAAGATCTACACCAACAAATAAATATTTGCACAATTTCAGATTGGACATGGAAATGAAAACTAAGATAAAATTCAATTTACAGTCAATCTGTTGGATATTGACATGATCAAGCAAATATAATGTTAAATAATCAAATAAAAATGCAATATTTCCTATATATAAATTCTTCCATGCACATTTTGAGTGCATAGTCAATAGATTGTTATAAGTTACGATCTCTTGTAATTGGTTAATGTTCACAGAAAAACCCCAGGATACGATAAAGAATCCATCCGGTTGCAACTGTGCTCTTAATTGAACATGGATCAATTTATTTTTATTTATAGAGAAATATGGGATGGTTTGCCCATTTCCATTAGGATTTGAGGCAGAAAAATCACCAAAAGTATGATTAGATGTGAAGAAAGCATATATTAATTATAGTGATTCATACCTGAGAAAGGATTCAAAGCCCTAATTCATACAATTCCATCGAAACTCCATAAAAGTGCTGCATAGATGGATCTGCAGTGGCGAAAGTCCATGAAGACAGCCACTCTCATGCCATAGCCTCAATTTGACCAATGTTCCCATAATTCAAGCTTTAAGGAAGCAAAACTGCCAAATAAGGAAAATTTGAGCTTGTTTAAGCCCTAAATTTCCAGGAGGAGAGAGAGAGAGAGAGAGAGAGAGAGAGAGAGAGAGAGAAACCTTGATGGTATTGAATCCTAGAAACCCTGTTTCAGAAGGTTCAATAATACAACAATCCAGTACAATCAAAATTCAAGAGTCGGCTGTATTATTTTAGGATGAAAAAACCAATATTATTGTTACAAAATGATACAACACATGAATAAAGAGAGAAAGAGTGAGACGGGAGGGTGGAGAAATAAGTGATACCTGAAAGGCTGAAACCCGTATATTTACTGGAATCGTTTCTTGACACACCTATATAGAAGCAAGGTCATAAGCTACAAACTCGTTTTCTGACCAATCAGTTGTAGAAGAAGTTCTCTGTTGGTGTGTGTTTAGGGGGAGAAGGAAATACTTGGTGGTGGCTTCGACTTTTTGAAACCTTAGCAAATGAAGCGAAAGTGCGCAACAATAGAATTCAAAATAAAAGTGATTCAAAGAGATCGATGTCGGAGAAGGGAGAAGAGGTAGTAGAGATTTTGAGATCACAGTGCTTCTATGGTGGCGTGAAGGCGAAGATGGTCAGTGAAGCGTCATGGTGAAAGCTACAGATGGTGGTAGCAGTCGAAGCAACAACGATGATGAACAAAGTAAAAAGTGGCTGGTCGACTTTCTAGGGCTTCGATCTAACCTCAAATGGAAACGGTCTGCAGATTTAATTCAAAATTAAAATATAAAATATGAAACTGCTTCTTGATTATTGTACCTGGATACGAAGGTTCTGCTATGTTTGCGTTTGCAGTGGCTATGAGATAGTATACAAAGAAGAGGAACAAAGGAATGGTTTTCTGAAAAAGAGAGTCGCTTGGGTTTTTGGAGAAAGGGAAGAAACATGCCAGATATAGGGGAAGGTGGGCGATATCCGAGAGATATTTGCCGATACCGGGGGAAATCAGGATTCAACATTGAACGTAAAGGATTAAAGAGGGCTGGGTCAAATGATTGAAGGCTTTGTCAAACGAACGTAGATAAGGTTTAATTGTGCAGTGAGTAATTGTATTTCAGGCTATATGTTTTATACTCCATTCCTTTTATCCTGTCATTTGACCGGATATAAGATTTACTTTTTTTATGCATAAACTAATTGTACTTATTGCAGTATAGTTTGTACCTCTTAAAATTCAGCAAAACATGTTAAATGATTATTAAGGTATAAAGATATATATATATATATATATATATATTATATATATATATATATATATATATATCTATATATATATATATATATATTATATATATATATATAGAGAGAGAGAGAGAGGAGAGCAAGGATCATTGAGAACTCATATTTTCCGAGAACCTGAGAACTAAAAGTGGACCGTTAGATTAAAAAAGTTAAGGGCTAAGATCTTTGATGGCAATTTTGTAAATAAATAGAAAAAAACAAGGAAGGGTATCTTAATAAAATAAGATAATGACATTTTAGGGAACAAGTAATTAGCTCCCCAAATAAACATATCAGATCGTGATTAGTCTTTCTATCGCTCGTTCCCTTCTCCGATTCTTCACCGACTCCATCGACCTCCTCCCTCTTCGTCGACTCCTCCCTCCTCCCTCTAACAACCACCCTACCTCTGTCAACAACCACCGCCTTCATTGAAGATTCTCCGATGATTGATAGATTTAACATCGCGGTGGTTGCGTCATTCTTCCCTCTCGAAGTTTCGTGCCCTAATAAATCAGCCAGAGGTCTGATCACTCCGGACCTCCCGATTCTCCTTCGCCTTTGAGCTTCCGGTCTCTGAGCCAGAGGACGACTCGATGTTCGGAAGCAGCAACACCGTCCGTTCAATCCAGAGTCGTCACTTTCTCGCCTTCAGATCTGGATCCACAATCGATCCATATTTCGTAGTCGTTATCATCAATCGACATGGAATCCAAAATCCTCCAATGATCTAGGCTTAATTGTCATTGATCATCAACAATTCATGCTTAATTGTTGTATGGATCGTTACTTTCTTCCAAGTTCAAACCCTGCACTTCTGTCGTCGACCATCCATAAAATCGACCCGGTGAGGATTTCGAATCAGGTGATTATCTTTCAAATTGGTGCTTAGTTCTTATATTTTTATTGTTATTTGAAGGTCCGATACAATTCTGAATAAGGTCTGATGCAATTCTGATTTATAAACCCGAACCTGTAATTTCTTTTAGGCAATCACTTATGAAACCAAAACCTATCAAATGTTCTTTGTCAGGAAGAAAAAGATTACTCCTTTTTGCAGAAATATCTACAATTGCTTACCAATTTCGCCATAACTTGAAATTCAAATTATTTTTACTTTCTATTTTCAGGTGATGTGAGGAGGATGACTCATCGTATCCCAGGAATACAATTCGGTTATACGCACCCAGTTGGTTTTGAGATTTCAAGGTAAGTTTAATGTTGCACACCAACTGTTTGATAAAATGCTTAAATCAGATTTTTGAATTACTCACACAATACCGATCATGTTGCATCTCGATTAACACCATGTACTCATGTAGTACCATTTAAGGTATCTGATATAAACCAGTACCAATTAACTTCAAGCATAATTGATCAGTGGGATCCAATTCCAACATGATTCATAGCAACCATCAACCCTCAGACAATGAAAGGTTTGTATAATATTTTTTTAAATTATTTACAAAAAAAAAATTATTTCGTCATGCAAACATTTGACAAGTATATTTTGTTATTCTATATTATTTTTTTATAAAAAAATGTAACATCTTTTTTAACAAAGTAACCGCATAGCTAGAATCTCATATGCAGACGAAACAGTGATAGGATGGATTCTCCTTCCGGAATTGAGGTACATACTATTACTCTAATACTCTTTACTTCTTGCCAATTACCTCAAGAATCAGTGATTCCAATGTTCTCTTTTTCTAGAGACAGATTACTAACATCCGACTGCGTTGATGTATTGAATGGCTATCATGAGATGTGGATAAAAGCGCATTTTTGGTAAAAAGTCTTCTCATTTCACATTTTTATTTACTTTTTTTATAAGAAATAGCTAAGAAAGCTTCCAAAAGTATGTTACTTGCATAAAAAAAAAAAAAACTAACTATCTCCAAATCCTTCTCCTTGCAACCCACCCCACAGGGAACAAAAACAAAAATGCGCCAAGTTGACACTCTCTTCTCTGTTTGATAGTAATCATATGATTAAGTGCTTGATGGGAATATGGACCAATAATAATCATATGATTAAGGAAACTCTAAGGTCTGTTTCTCTTTTTTCTTTATTGAGTGTTATTTGTAAATGGTGTTTCTTATTTGAGCTGAATGAACCGTCACTGACTATTTTACCCTTTTGTTTGGAACTAATGCGAATGAAAAATGGGTTATTTGTTTGATAACCGGTCTGAATGTAAATTCTAGCTGACAAAAAGATTACAAATTCACGAAATATCCAAACAAAAGTTATCTGATATAATAATGATATAGATTTTTAAATATTTGATATGAATAATTATATATTTATGAAGCATGTAAATAAAAAAGTATTAAATATAACAAGTAATTACAACTTAGCAAAATTCTAAGGTTCCGAAACAGCCACATTAAGTCAAGTTATTTAATAAGAATCATTGACTGTCTGATTTACATTATTTGTTGTGTTTGTTATTTTTGACATGGATTTTATGAGTGATTAAGTGATGTGGTTTTGTATTGTAGATTGCACCAGATTGGAGGGAAGCTTTATCACTGAAGAACGCCATTGAAGATCGTATCACAAAAGGTGTTGTTTTTGTATTGTTATGGATTTGGTCATAAATATTTAACGTTTCCAATTCGTCTATTTTTTTATTAGTAATATTATTAGTAATCTTTTAGTTTTACACAAAAATGTAAATGTTTTTAGTAGATAAAAAAGTAAGGTTAATCTAAAAAATACATTGCCAAATATTATTACAAAGCAGTTTTAATGTGGTTTGTTGGTTTGTCAGCCACACAAAGGGACACATAAGTTACTATGTAACTTGGAAAAAAGAAGAGGACCCTGCTGTGTTTACAAGCGACACACTGCTGGGTGGTGTCATTTCCTGATATACATTTTCTGCTAAATGCTAGAAATAGCATTCTACTTTCATTTTTTATTTCTCATGTTGTATTTTTTTTTAGTTTGTTGCTGGTTGTGGCAAGTTTTTGAGGGAACAGCAGAACAGATGCATGAGTCACTATGTGTGACTTTGGCTTCTTTGCCAAAACCAACTAAAGTTTACTGTGGGCATGAGGTAAATTAATACTTATATTGTTTTTGTATTTGTTAGTTTGTACTAAAATTAATTAATACTAGATGTCATATTTTATACATGTCAGACACAACCTGGCCTTGCAACTATTCCATCAACCATTGAACAAGAATTAGAAACTAATCCATTCATGCGATCTAATCTACCTCAACTTCAGGTACTCTTGCTGTTTTTTGACTTTTTTAGGGAAATATGGAGGCAAACCTCGTCCTGGTGGTCCAAGATCTACCTTATGCATATCCTCACAGGTAAACCATTACCCTATCCATTCCTTCCAAACTGAAATTCTTTCCTGATTTGAGTTCTTCAGTTGATAGATTCAATCGACATTTTGCTCTATATCACAACACTGTATGTGAATCATTCTCTCAACAGGTTGGATGCAAAATGGGCTGCACATTCTGTGCAACTAGAAGTATGGGATTCAAGAGCAACCTCTCAACAGGAGAGATTGTAGAACAATTAGTACATGCTTCTCGATTATCACCCATTCGCAATGTTGTTTTCATGGTAAATACCTAAAAAAAACTTGTTTTCCTTGAAATTTATGTCACTACAACTGATACCATCATATTGTATTCAGGGAATGGGAGAGCCATTAAACAACTACAATGCTTTAGTTGAAGCTATTCGAGTAATGACAGCATTCCCTTTTCAGCTTTCACCCAAGAAAATTACTGTCTCAACGGTTTGTTTTGTTTGCTCCATTTTACATCCTCAATATTAGTCTTTTTAAGAACATTTCTGGATTCATATCTATCATTCTCATAATTTCTTGTATGTTGGAATAATTCATGCAATAAACAAGCTTCATGGTGACTTACAAAATATAAACCTAGCAGTGCCTCTTCATGCACCAGTTCAAGATATTAGGTGTCAAATAATGCCTGCAGCTCGAGCTTTTCCTTTAGAAAAACTTATGAATGCTTTAGTAGAATATCAAAAGAAAAGGTAGCTCTTTTTTTGCTTCTTTTTTTAATTTCCTCAAAGTGTAAAATTACTATAATACCCTTCTGGTATTGACTTTATAGTCAGCAAAAGATTTTCATTGAGTACATAATGTTAGATGGTGTGAATGATGAGGAGCAGCATGCCCACCAGCTTGGTAGATTGCTTGACACATTTGAAGTGATGAGAAAGAGATTCAAATTTGTTTTTAGAGTAAATTATAATTTTGGTCCCTGAGTGTTGCTGTTTTTTTCAATTTTGTTCCCAAAAACTTTCTCTTGCAGTTTTTGTTCTTATTTACATGTGATTCACATATGAATCACATGTTATTCACATGTAAATCACATGTTATTCACATATGAATCACATATAAATCATATATGAATTAGATGTGATTCATATGTAAATCACATGTTATTCACATGTGAATCACATGTAATTATATATGAATTACATGTGATTCACATGTAAATCACATATGAATTACATGTGATTCACATGTAAATCATATATGAATTAGATGTGATTCATATATGAATTACATGTGAATAACATGTGATTTACATGTGAATCACATCTAATTCATATAAGATTTATATGTGAATCACATGTAATTCATATGTGATTCACATGTAAATCACATGTAATTCATATATGATTCACATATAAATTACATGTAATTCACATATTAATCACATGTAAATCACA